GTGTGTGTGTGTGTGTGTGTGTGTGTGTGTGTGTGTGTGTATTTGCTGGGTGCTATCCCAGTGCACTTATCACCTCAGCCCAGGCTCTGACTTTTTGCTCCGGGGAACAGAAAAGCGGCGACTTAAAGTCGCACCTCTCGCTCTGAGACTTAATGTGTGCACGTCTGTGTGCTCGGAGACGTGGATGAATGCATGTGTGAGAGCAATGGCTGCGCCCACATGATACACTTTTCAGTTTGAGGAGAAAGTAAATGAGAACAGGGATCTGTGACATTTTAGAAAATTTATTGACTCCTTTTTAGCTTTTTCAGGGCTTGTTTTGCCAGGTGTGTGCATAGCTGTGAAAACGGATGAGCATTTCACCATCTGCAGGCTACATTTATTCTGTTTTGAAAGCGCAGTAACTGAAGGCAGACTTGTTAGAACAAACCAGAATTCAAGCTATAACATTAGAATTGTAAGCGTTTTAGATGTACTTGCTCTCGGTGGCAAGAAATTCAGTCCTCATGGGTTCTCATGTATGTCGATCATTTACAAGGTTAGCTGGAGGGTTTTTCTAACACTCAACTGACTGGTAAAGGCAAAAGCAGTGAAAAATGCCATGTGTGACATGAACTGTAATCCCTCTAGGATTAAAAATCTTGGGGTTGTAGAGGTGATGAAGCTAACCCAAATGAATTCAGTGGGATCACCTCTTCAGAGAGCAGTAGTTTAAGGATCCAAATCTCGGAGCTGGCTGCTACTGTTGATCATTTGTTGACAGGTGTGTGTGAATAGCCACATGTATTGACTGAGGATTTCTAGATTTAAATTTGCCTATTTGTATGCAGTGTAGATTTTGATGGTGTGAAGGTATTTTGTTATACCACATTATCAATATATGATGACAGTATATTATCAGTGGTGGTTCAAAGCAAATAAGGACAGTTTTGATAAAATAATGTCATAGTTTTCCTTTTAAAGGGTATGATAAAAAATTGTTCTTCTTTTTATGATTTTATTTTACTTGTTTATATTTTATTAATAAATGCCATTAAATCAATCACAAAATGAAATATTGCTTGAAGATAAAAAAAAACATTTAAGCTACTACATGAAAACTACTACATGAAATCTCATAATAGTAAACCTTTCAAAAAAGAAAGCAGCAGTTTTTAATGTGTGTAGGCTAAATTACAATTTGATTACCAGCGTTTTTGCAGTAATGCTGTTAAAATGAGAAATGTCAACAATAAAAGCATTGCAGTTATCATTGCTGCATTTATTCCCGCATGGTATCATGCTGAGTATTCAAATGCTTAAAGCTTTCAATAATGCCACAATGGCAGCAGTACATCTACATGGTATTACTTGCAATGTATCACTTTATAATCGGTGTTAAAATGTAATACCAAAAGAAGCAGATCTTTTTGCGTTTATTATTTATTTCAAATTAAGTTCATGAGCTGGAACAAAAATAGTATGGGGTGGGGGCGGCATGGCTCAGAAAGTCCAACTCAGACTTTTCCAAGAGTTTCTGGCTTGAGTCCCAGAGCAACACTTGGAGGGTGGGAGAAACACCAGGCTTTCAGTTCCTCTCATGCTGTCTTCACCTGGCCTCTCCTTTCATTTCCTTACCTCCTGCCAGTTACCACAGGAAAACCGGACTGACCGTGTTGAGTATTTTGGAACTTTATGCTTTCATGTTGGCTAATTACCCAACTCTTCATACCTTGCAGTACTTTTAATGAAAGTTTCACTTTTCATTAACTTTGATTACAACAAGCCCAGTCTCTTTCGGTTTCTAAGAGTTGCCTTTTAAAATCGTTAATATATTTTTTAATTTATTTATGTATTTATTTATTTTACTTTTCTACACAGTCATCAGTATTTAATTAACCTCTGATTGCACCACAGTTGTCACCCAGTTATTGTTTCACTCACTGCGTTGAAGTCACACGTGAAATTGTTTCTTCATCAGCGTTTGCCACTGGCAGCTATGTGGGAGAGAAACAAACATAAACCACAGTCAGCAAGTTTCTCTTTTTTATAATTGCCTCGTTTTTTCTCCAATTAATGAGGAGCTTTAGGATAACTTATTTCTAAATGGAATGTCTGCAAAAGAAAAAAAAACTAATAGCACCTTACTCAAGCAAAACTTTGTTTTTCTGAAAATCACAAAATTAATTTATTCATTAATAAACTGGGTTTGGAGCTGATAATAAAACCAAACCTGTAGCAAGAAAATGCTAAAATGCTTTGTGCTTTTGAATTTGCTTTATCCCAAGACTGTTGTTAGTAATTATTTTCATACTGTATTGTATCTTTATTCTGGTGGCAACAAATGAGCTACAGGTAATGCACATCATTAGTGATGCAGACACAAAGGTAAAAAAATGCACACCTGCAATGAATATGTATGATTTGTACACTTCAGATTTCCTGCATCCCAGTCGCTTATTAAATTTAAGTATGTTGATATGTGAGTGCATATTCCAAACACAGACTGAAGTCGTTGTGGGTGCACCTCCTCAGATTTATACTTTATGTATGTGGAGAGGCTGCCTCCTTACTGCGGTTGTGGTCTGATTTATGCCTAAATTGGACTTGCTGTGTTTTTTTTCTGTGCATCAAGGGGAGTTTGTTTTTGTGTCATGGAAGCTGTTGACTGTTCCACTCTGTCTTGTATTGGATTTGTAAGGGTCCCTTACTTTGATCTGAGTATTTCAGACAACTAGACACAGCTAACTGATGCTGTGTTTGGGCCTCTGTACATAATGCAGCATTTGATTCTTGTGCTTCATCTACAAGGCCAGTACCATCAAACAAGAAGAAGGATAGGCAACATCAAAGACTTTGTCCTCTGGGTACTAATGACATGGGCTTCGTCTGTTTTGCTGTGGTGGCTCACACCCACTTGAGCTTTATATTTTATTTTTTTACTTTTTTTTTTTTTACAACACACTAGTATATGTGGACAGGGCATTATGAGTTTGTTAAAGTATTTGCTAATGAATGTATTTGCTTTAAACGGCAACCTCTGGGAAAAATTACAGCCCACTCCATCTCTTTTCTAATCCTTTTCCTGCCATGCACAATAGGTACCATATAACAGTCAAATCCCTGAAATAACACACTGAAACGTCTTGTTATTTATTTACATTCTCTTACTGAACAACCACCAAGTGTTTTTGGAGTGGCACACTATTGCATCACTTGGATCAATAGGCAGAGACTCTACAGAGCTTTCTCTTATCATGCATCATAACTTACTTGATTGATTAAACTGACTGAAGGATGGGTATGTTGATTCTTATCCTCCTTTAAAAGCCTCAGTCGCTCTTGTTCTGTTAGCCACTAGGCCAGTAATGGTCAAAAGTCCACAGTTATTAAGAGCAAGGATTTTATATTTGTGGTGCAGTTCATCTGTATAAATCAATAATGTTAAAGTATACTTGGAAGATAGGTCTTTACAATAGGTCTATAAAAAGAAAATATTTGCTTTTGATATGGCTAGGCAACACTTTAAGACACTGGATGGAATTACATTCAGATATTATTGGTTTTAGTTTTGGGACTAAAATTGCCTTGTCAGAGTTTCACCTACCATTATACAAGGGGGGCTGGCTCCCCCGCCAACGAGACGGCCCGCCCCTTCAATTCTTGRGGGGGGGGGGGGGGGGCAGGGCGAGACTGTAGAGCGCTGTGTGTGGTCCTCACAAAGACAGAAAGACGCACGTGTGTGTATAATTAGA